AATGGTGAAAGTTGCTGTGTCCTTGGGATAATCAACCCAAAGAGGCCTGAGACACGACAGAAAAGAAAAAGTGCACTCATGTAAAATGAAGCAGTACTTATGACTATACAAACAATCTAGTCTGTGTGAAATAATGAACAATATCATAAGCAAGCATTCACAGGGACCTCGCTCACCTCATGACAGGCATTCCGGTCTTATGTGCTTGGTATAACAGCTGGTACCAGTATGGCAGAAGAGCATAACGCTGGCGGATTACCTCCCGGATGAGTGCAGTGTTCTCCGGGCCAAAGAGCCAGGGTTCCCTGCGCGTGGTGTCTAGATGAGCATGAGCACGGAAGAATGGCTGATACGCACCCGTCTGATACCAGCGAACCAGAAGCTCAGTGCTGGGATTCTTAAAAAAGCCACCAACATCAGCTGTATGCAAGAAGAGAGAAATGGCATGTAAAGTTGTCCACACACGTCCACTGCATTATGTCATTCGTATAGTAGACCATTCAAATTATACAATTCTCTATCCATTGTGTGTTTGTTATGAAATGTTTTGCCTAGTTTGATTGTGCTTTCAGCTACAAATAAATGTTACCATGTTAAAATACATTTTCCCCCCAAAATCAGCAAAGAAATAAAAGTTTGTTTGGGTCTAGTTATTACCACTAAGTATACAGATAATTACTGACCTCCACAAAACGAGACGCCCACAAGCCCAAGACTGAGACACATGGGAATAGAAATCTTGAGATGGTCCCACTCAGCTGCATTATCACCAGTCCAAACAGCACCTAATGAAAATATGCAAACCCAAATGTTTCTTTCACACAACATGTACAATAAAATAATTACGAAGTCTCAAACTTTAATTTCCGTGTGCAAAAACAACCGCATGAATTCACCATATCTCTGAGAACCAGCAAAAAAGGCTCTGGTCAGCACAAAAGGCCTTTCAACTCCACCAGATCGCTGAGTCTGACCTTCGGCAGTGGCCATTTGCTGCATAATAATACAAAGAGAATATCAAGGAAAAGAAGAGAATAACATTTAATCTGGAAGAATATTTAATGCAGGTGGTAGAGTATAAAATAATAGTAACAATGTTATTGATGTTTGTCCCTTCTCTTCAGTTGGTTTTAAAATAGTCCACATTTTACCATACATCAGAGTTCCTCACCACATAAAGTCCATAGATATTGTGGATGTCTCTGTGCTCCCACTTTCCATGCAGTGCATCTTTGTGCATAGTGACCTCAGGCCCATTGAAGACAGACGGCTCATTCATGTCATTCCAAGTAAAGAGATTCTCCATCGAACCCTGAAAAGCAACATGTAAAGTTATGACAACAGGATTTGTTTGGCCATTTTCACATTTAACACTGTGTCCTAACCACATGTGACGTGTCAAAGTTTCCAAATACAAAGAAATTCTGTTCACACTGAGCGCAAAACTGCTGCACAGCAAATTTGGAGCGGGACATTGGACCATTAAGATTTCACAGTGGAATGGAAACTAATGATAGACACAATGTCCTTCACAGTCTTCTGCAGCCTGGTTTACAGATGAGAAACTTAATTCGTGCATATTTTACTTTTTGGGTTTTTTTCTGAGCGTAAGCACTTTACACTCTCTTTTAAAACAGTCATATGTAGAAGAGAAACGCAGCACAAGACATCAAAAGCAACACCACATCCTGCCTGGGCTAGAAGTGGGGAAAAACAGAGGTATAGCTACAACATCTGCTTCAATCATTTATTTCTTTGCAATTACTAAAATAATAGAACAAGAAGGAAATCAGTAAAGTTAACACTCTTTTTGGTCAAGAGCATTATGATATAACAGTTTCAGATCCTTCTCCTAGTTTAGGGCTTTCACTATGACAAGATTGAGAACAGAAATTTCTTACCTCATACTGGTCATAGGCGAACATGCTGGCCCACCAGGCCCGCATTTCTGGTTTTGTAAAATCTGGGTATCCAGAGTTTCCTGTGATAAGACCAGAGATGCATTTAAACTACAATACATGTAACATTAAGCATCTTAACACAAACACCACATATTTTTTTAATTAAGTGAAATTATTTAATCTATGGTTCAAAAGATTTGGGTCCGTTTTTTTTAAGAAATTAATACTTTTACTCAATAAGGACGCATTCAATTGATCAAAAGTGAGAGTAAAGACTTTTACATTGTTACAAAATAATTCGATTTCAAATAAACGCTGTTCTTTTATACTTTCTATTCATCAAAGAATGTCGCAAAAATATTAAGCAGCACAACTACATTTCAAAACAAACTTCCCACCTGGCCAGCACCAGCCTTCATAATTCCTGCCATCTTTGTTCTTAACATAGAAATCTTTAGAAGTAATCTCGTTGTGGATCTTGTAGCCACTATCAACCCTGATGTGGGGGTCTACTATAGCCACCATCTATTCAAAACAAAATTATCATCACAAAAGAATCCCTATGGAATGTTTAGAAGAAAATAATACCATACTGTAGCTCTACAACAACTGTGGCTGACCTTGCGTCTCTTGTCCATTAGGCCCTGAAGCATCTCTTTAGGCTGAGGGAACTTGTGGGGATCCCAGGTGAAGTAGCGCTTGCCATCTGCATGCTCAATATCAAGCCATATGAAATCATAAGGGATGTCATGTTGGTCAAAGCCTTGGTCCACTGACTTCACATCTTCCTGGTCATTATAATTCCAGCGGCACTGGTGATAGCCCAGACTGGCGAGGGGAGGGAA